GGGCTCCGGACCCGGGTCCGCGTCGAGGTGGTGAAACCCGACCCGAGCCCGGCCCGGCCGGGTTTTAATTATATACATATTATATATATATTTTTATATATTTATATGTAATTATAGTATGATATGGTCATTAATGTATAGTTATATATATTTTTAAGTGTACATTGTCATTAATATATGCTTGTATATACTATATATTTTTAATGTATACTATATATAATTATAGTATGATTTGGTCATTAATGTATACATATATATACTTACATATAATATATAGCTATATACTAATATGTAACTATATACTAATATGTAAGTATATACTAATACATACTTATATAAATATAATAAGATTAATCTAATTTTTTAATCAAAATTTAGCAAAAAAAATACAAAAAATACAAGCCGGATGTGGTGACTGCAAGGAGCAAAAAATTTTGGCGGTTCTCCATGGTGTACGTTAGCAGGCGAATTCTCCTCCACTAACTTACACCCACGCCGAGTTCTTGATGGTGAAAAAGACGAAAAATAGCAGTAAAAAGATCTTCAACATTGGATTATGAGCATCAAGTTTATGCTTGCAATCCTCAGAGGTCCGTTCTGATACAAAAATTATTGAAGATGATGTAGATTTTGATTCTGGAATCATGTGGTCAACGGGTCCTCGAGGGGAGAAAAAGAAGAAATAGATGGATGAGATTCTCAGATCTGCAAGTTTTCTTGTTGATCCTAAACCTCAGGTAACTCCTCAGTCGATTGGATTTCAATCTTGTCAACTCTATAAGTCTTCACTCTCTTGCAATGAACTGAGTAGTTCTAATAGATCTTCTTGGGCTGATGATGAAGCTTTGGAGGTTGAATTACTAGATCAACAACTTTCCCCAAAATTTTCAAGTAAAATTGGTTCTGATCAATTGATTCCTGCATCGGCTACTAACTCAGTTACTGTTATATTGAATCCTGTTGAGAGAATGATTGTAATGGCCGATGCTGATAATATCGAAAATAATTCAAAAGATGGAAAGACCATTTGTGATGATGCTAAATTCCCTCAAATTAATTCCTCAAATGCTAAACCTACTTTGGATCCTGTAAATGCAACAAAAAAGAGTTGGATTACTTTTTTTGCTGATAATAGAAAAGCAGGAAGTGGTATGGTTTTGGATTTTATTCCACCAATTTCTAAAGATTCAGTGATCTTTGAAGAAGAAGAATAGAATGAAGGTGAATCCATGTGGAAAATTTCCCTCATTGGTCAGGTTTTAGGTCTCAATGCTAAATTCAAAGCTATGGAGAATTTTGTTAAGAAAGCATGGGCTTCGTTGACAAATCCTAAAGTGTTTCTTCTAAAAGCAGGTTTATTTCTGTTCAAATTTAATAAAAAGGAAGAAATGAGTGATATCATTGAAATTGACCTTTGGTTTTATGGGTCAAGACCTCTCCTCCTAAAGCATTGGTCTAATGAGGAAGAGATTGAGAAGAGTTTTGACAATATCTATCCTATGTGGATACAATTGCCAGGTTTAAGACTCAATTTGTGGAATGCTAAGAGTATAAATAAAATTGCTAGTGTTATTGGTAGGCCAATTGCCATTGATAAGCTCATGGCTAATAGACAGAGGCTAGCTTATGTCGGGGTTCTTGTAGAAGTTAAAATGCCTTCACAACTTCCTGATCATATCTCTATACAAGAACCAAATGGAAAATTGATTAATCAAATGGTTTACTATGAGCTAAAGCCTAGATGGTGTGATCATTGTAAACAAGTTAGGCATGATACAAATTTTTGTAAGAGACATCCTAGAACTCAGAGATGAGTTCCTAAACATGTTCCTGGAGCTAATAATAATGTTTAGGTCAGAAAGGATGCTAAAATTCCTATTCCTGGACCTGTAAGGGAAGTGGTGTTTCCTAATCTAAATATGGATGCAGGAAATGTACCAATACATGTTCATTTGCATGATAAAAGTTTAAATACAGCATTCCCAGGAACCTGTGCAAATAATGCCTACTCATGATCAATCTGAGCATGCTCAACCTGAGCATATGTCCTCAATATCTGAGAATGACCAACATGTACTCTTATCTCATCAGTATTCACAGAAGATTGTACAAAATACAAACGATCAGTCTTTTGGTTATGAACCTGAATATGTCCAACCTGATGCATTACATGCTCATGTTCAATTTCAACATGTGCACACAGCTGCAAAGCATGTAAAAGATGGGGGTAAATTTGAATATTGGGAGTTTTCTGCTGGTAAAAATTTTGTGCATGTTTTGCAAGCCAATTCTGAAGTTAATGCTTATAATAAAGAAGCCTCACATTTCGAAAACTCTTGGATGCATTTGCAAAGAGGTAAAAATAAAAAAAGTATCCCTATTAACTCCTTTTCTCAATTGGCTAGCATGGTGTGTGAA